AAAGTACATGTTCATCTCATGAAAACAGCACAATACAATCTGCAAAACTTCTTGACGTGACAGAACAACAATGGAATCTCAACAGGCTGACGCGTTGAGGACTTATCCTCTTCCTCAGGGCTTGATAAATGTTTTTTTTTTGCATACTCCACCCCCCTGCCACCATCCTCGCCTAGGCAAGAATAACTCTCCAGCACTGTGAAGCCTCCTGGAATATGTAAGTCACATATCTCATGTTGCTTCACTTTCATTCACAGAAGCCAGAAGAGGGCAAGACTGGCATGTATCATCAGGGAGCTGGAATACCCAGTCCAGAAGAACCCAAGGCACCCAAGGGCAAGGAGCAAAGGTGGCAGCACAGGACAAAGACTGACAATAGTGAATTGATCACAGGAGGACAATGCTAGACCTGCTGAGGCAGGCGAGTACCTGTATTGAGGACAACACTGCATTCCAGGTAAGAGGAGGAAAAAAATCTGTAGGGTGGGTGACCCAAAATTCCCCATTAAGCCTTCCCCGCCCATCATCCCTTTAAGTGGTTCTCAAGGCTGAAGGTCTTTTACCTTCATGCATTCTATGCATAAGAGTAGAAAACCCTCAGTGTGCGGGTCCCCCCTCAGCCCTCCTAATACAACTCCAAGTCTGATCCAGCGATGCGCACAAGAGCTGCGGCTCTTGCAGGTCTCTCCCTCCTTATTGGCTGACACACAGCAGCGGAAGCCATTGCTGTCAATTAGAGCCAGTGAGGAGAAGAGTGGGGGGCAGGGTTGAGCTCTGCTGGGCGTGTCTTATGGACACAGAGTAGGGCTCGGGAGCAAGCATGCACGAGTCCCCCATAGAAAGCGGCTTGCTATGGGAGTACTCGGCAGGTGGTAGGAGCCCAGAGCACCGGCAGAGGACCCGAGAAGAGGAGAATCAGAGCTGCTCTGTGCAAAACCATTACACAGAGCAGGTAAGTATAACATGTTTACTATTTAAATAAAAAATGTGAATTTTTAATATCACTTGAACTAGTTCTTTACAACTAAGGACAGGAAGGACTGACTGATCACGTGAGCACTGTGATTGGCTGTCACAGGTGACAATTGGTAACCTGTCCTACCACTTCCTGACCATTACTAGAGAGCTGGAGCTGTCTCTGATAGCTCAGTCACTATGCTGGGAGTACGCAGTATTCATACGCTAAGCACAATAACAAACCTTGGCTGTCTATGGACTCGTGCATTAAATATGCATCACATGCAGGGTTGATTTAAAATCAATGATAAAAAAAAAAAAAAAAAAATCGATTTTTATTTAAATCGGATTTTTTTTAAATAAAATGCTTTTTAAGGAAAATATATTACCATCCAAAGGTTATTCCATCATGAAATAAAAATTAGTTTTTTAATTATGTAGAATAAGGCTGTATAATGTTTAATTTTTTTGGCAAATAAATTCCATGAATCCATTCACAATGTCATGCTCTTCCAGAGGATTTTGTAAGATTATTGGGCAGTTTCTCTGCCTACAAAATATTATCACAGAGGCTTGGTTTACTTTTGCAGTTCTCAAAACTGAATTTGACTCAGCGGAGATCACATGCCTCTTCTTCACAGCAAAAATGTTATAACATGAACAGAGTTAAAAAAAAGATCTTAATCCTAACTTCTACAAACCTATGAATACAGAATCAACCCTTTCAGTGCTAAGTTTCAAGAAGTTCAGTGAATAGAATAGAAACAATATTTTTCTGATTGTTTGGAGTGGAATAGATCTGCACAAGAAGAAAGTGAAACTAAGTGTGAGGAGGAAGGGGCTGACAGTCTAAGTTTCTTAAAATATATATATTTTGTTTAGCCAAATTAGTTACCAAACATGGATGTTTGTTTAAGCAAATAACATATGCTGGAATGTTATTGTTTCAGTTGAATAAATCTATTTAAATTGTTATTAAGGTAATGATTATTTTTCTCCTTCCAAAGTATAACAGAAAAGTTGTCCAAATATGAATGATTAACCTATTAAACTGGGGATAAAAAAAAACTAATATGAAAAGTTGTTATTCTAAAAATCTTCATCTACTTGCATATTAAAGTTATACCAGCAAGAATTAGTCTATGTAGAAAACTAGGATTTAAATCAAGCCTTACTGACTAGTGATTTAAATCGTGATTTAAATCAGTTTGATTTAAATCAAATCCACCCTGATCACATGGGTGGCAAGAGGTTAATACAGGTGTAATTTTTATTCTTTAAAATGTGGACCTGGGGTCTGTTGCCACCAATTGTTGCACGGAAGCGTGTTTTTCCGCACTGCACAGGAATGCACTGCCAGCTGCAGACATGCCATTAACGACAGTACTAAAATTCAGACAAAGTGCAAATATAAAGTGTTACTAAACCCAAAACAGTAAAATCAGTCTGTATATGCAGTAAAGCATGCTTGTTATACTCACTGTGGAACCTAAGGGGTTAATCCTCCGCATTGTGTAAAAACGGTGTTTGATCCTCACTTCTCTGATCCTCCCCTTCCCCCAAAGTACCCCTCTTATTTCCTGATAAGAAATATCACGTGGAGACACTCTACATATGCTCAGTTTGGTGTGTATTGCTAGAGGGTTTTTTTTTTCTTTTTGTAAGTGCATGTGATCAGCACAGGGCCGATCAGCACTGTCCAGACAGAGGTCAAGGGTCCTGTATCCTCCTAGAGCAAAATGAAAACTCCTCCTACAAGCTTTAACCAGTGCTCTGCTGCACACTGATAGAAGTCACAAGACTGCTCTAACTGCTGATGAGAAAAGGTATGTAGCAGTTTATATTTACTGATATAATTGCATTTCCATGTTGTGTGTACTGTGGGAGACCAGATATAGTGAATGCAGAGTCCTGGGTTTAGTAACACTTTAATGGCATCTCCACACATCTAGCAAACATGGCCACCAAAATGCACGGAACACAAGTACAATGCAGTTAGGTGCGATTTTACTTTGTGTGCTTGGCAGCCCATTGGAATAGAAGGGATGTCAAGAACGCACAAAACCGCATGTATGAACACACTTTTTATGTTGTGGACCGGACCTTAGTCTGCAAACCGCTTCCTGACCGCCGTATGGCATACATACTGCTACAAGGTAGCAGGGCTTTGAAAAAAAAAAATCACTTTTTTTTTGTATTTTCAGGTGGAGTGTGCGCCCTACCTGTGCCGCCATTAGTGGCTACACCTGTCAATCGCCGGGTCCTGGCCGGAGATTCTCCGCCGACACCCGGCAATCGTCGAGTATCACTGATGGGGGAGAGACCTGTATGTAAACAACACAGATCTCTCCCGTCAGAGCAATATAAAGCAGCGTGCTTACACAGTAAAATACACACAGCACACATAGTAAAACAGTACACAGTTAACCCATTGATTGCTCCACATATTAACCCCTTCCTGTCCAGTGCCATTAATACAGTGTCAGTGCTTTTTATTGTATTGGGGTCACTGGGGATGCCAGTGGCAGTTAGTTTCCCCCCCCCAGTGTAAGAATGCCCGCCACAGTCCCACTATAAGTCGCTGATCACCGCCATTACTAATATAAAAAATAAAAATCCCAGTATATATACCGCCATTTGTAGACGCTACAACTTTCATGTAAACCAATTCATTTACACGTATTGGGATTTTTCCTTAGCAAAGACATGAATACATTTTGGCCTAAATTTGAGGAAATTAGATTTTTTTTTTTTTACTGGACATGTTTAACCTCTTCACACCAGCCAAACGCAAATGTGCAGCCTCCTGGCGTCTGGGCCGCACATTTGCGTTCTATTAAAAAAGGACATATGTGCCAAGAACCCGTGCCCAGCACACACGTCCGGTACTCACGGAAAGGTCCCGATCTCCTCTTTCGATCGGGACCTTTCCCGATCATGTGACCGCTGTGACAACACGTCACATGACCCTAAACCCCTCCCGGCTTCTGAAACTCTTAAAGGGCTGGGAGGCGCTGGCATGAAGGGGTTAATAGTCAAAAATATAGTTTCTCTCAAAATTGTTGGGGGTTTTTAGTCTATAGCGCAAAAAAATAAAAAATGCACAGGTGGTGAAATACCACCAAAAGAAAGCTCTATTTGTGGGGGGAAAAAAAAGGACATAAATTTAATTTGGGTGCAACGTTCCATGACCGCGCAATTGTCAGTTAAAGTAGCGTACCGTCGTATTGCAAAAAGTGGCCTGGTCAGAAAGGGGGGTAAATCCTCAGGAGGACAAGTGATTAAAGCCCATCTCTGGGCAAAAAAACAACCCCTCCAATCACTGCAGGCCCCTTTGTACTTACCTAATCCAGGTCCTAAAGCTTCACTCCTCTGCTGTTCTTATAGCTGGGCCCTTCTTTGGGTGTCCACTCCACTGCCTGCATGCACTCTCACAGATTCCAGAACCTATATAATAAATAGCCGCTTTACCATGGCTCCTCTTTTGGGAATTCGTGACCAGCTCTGCTATTGTGCCCCACCCCTCCCCCCACAGCACAGAGCAGAGGGAGGGGGTGGAGTGACACCATGGGGCGCTGGGTGTCACAGCTTCAAAGGCTGACAGGAATTGGAACGAAAAAAAAAGGGGCGGAATTAAACTTGCAGGGACGCATTGAGGAGATGCTGTGATGTCTTCGCCGTTTCCAGCTCTGGGCATTCCCTCACAAAGACAGCCAGCAGCAAATCAGCTCCTAGGCTTTCCTCTGCTCCCATAAAGCAACACTGCCGCTCAGCCCTTCAGTCCGTCCCATGAACCTTCCGCAGCACGCCCTACGTTTACACAGGTCCTATGTTTGCAGATCACCTTACCACAAGAACAGCAGCTTCCCCCGGCAACCGGGACCCCACCTTCTCATCTCCCACGTGACCCTACCAGAGTCACGCCTACAGGAGCCAATGTTGGGATCACTCAATAGCCCCTCCCACATGGCCAGAGGGGAGAGCCCAGTGCGTGTGGTAGCAACGCCCATCAACTCTGCGCGCTGACAGGGCAGACAGGAAAGATGGCGGCGCCCTTGGTGAGAGCTGTGAGGAGGCCGGTGTCCGGAAGGATGATCAGTACTGCCGGTAATTGGAGATGTGGATCTGTGTCCCCCGTATATGTGTCACTGTAGGATAGTAGTAGTAGAACATGTGTTGTGGTGGGTGTGATATATGTGATCAGACGAGGGGTACATGGCCTTTACAGGACAACTCCAACCAGCGAGCAGTACACAATGAAATCCTGCTCCACTCACCCACAATGGGGGACCCAGTGACACCAATGACGGGGCGCTATTCCCCTCCTACCGACACCAATGACGGGGCGCTCTTCCCCCCCCCCCCCCCCACCGACACCAATGACGGGGCGCTATTCCCCTCCCCCACCGACACCAATGACGGGGCGCTATTCCCCCCCCCCCACCGACACCAATGACGGGGCGCTATTCCCCCCCCCACCGACACCAATGACGGGGCGCTATTCCCCCCCACCGACACCAATGACGGGGCGCTATTCCCACCCCCCACCGACACCAATGACGGAGCGCTATTCCCACCCCCCACCGACACCAATGACGGGGCGCTATTCCCACCCCCCACCGACACCAATGACGGGGTGCTATTCCCCCCCCACCGACACCAATGACGGGGCGCTATTCCCCCCCACCGACACGCTACTCCTCCCACACTGGCCGCAATGACGGGGCGCTATTCCCCCCCCCCCGCCACCAAGGACGGGGCAATATTCCCCCCAGTGACACCAAGGACGGGGCACTGTTCCTCCCACACTGACACCAAGGACGGGGCACTGTTCCCCCCCAGTGACACCAAGGACGGGGCACTGTTCCCCCCCAGTGACACCAAGGACGGGGCACTGTTCCCCCCCAGTGACACCAAGGACGGGGCACTGTTCCCCCCCAGTGACACCAAGGACGGGGCACTGTTCCCCCCCAGTGACACCAAGGACGGGGCACTGTTCCCCCCCCAGTGACACCAAGGACGGGGCACTGTTCCCCCCCAGTGACACCAAGGACGGGGCACTGTTCCCCCCCAGTGACACCAAGGACGGGGCACTGTTCCCCCCCAGTGACACCAAGGACGGGGCACTGTTCCCCCCCAGTGACACCAAGGACGGGGCACTGTTCCCCCCCAGTGACACCAAGGACGGGGCACTATTCCCCCCCAGTGACACCAAGGACGGGGACACACTATTCCCCCCCACACTGACACCAAGGACGGGGCACCATTCCCCCCACACTGACACCAAGGACGGGGCACCACTATTCCCCCCACACTGACACCAAGGACGGGGCACCATTCCCCCCACACTGACACCAAGGACGGGGCACCATCCCCCCCCACACTGACACCAAGGACGGGGCACCATTCCCCCCACACTGACACCAAGGACGGGGCACTATTCCCCCCACACTGACACCACCAAGGACGGGGCACTATTCCCCCCACACTGACACCAAGGACGGGGCACTATTCCCCCCCCACACTGACACCAAGGACGGGGCACTATTCCCCCCACACTGACACCAAGGACGGGGCACTATTCCCCCCACACTGACACCAAGGACGGGGCACTATTCCCCCCCACACTGACACCAAGGACGGGGCACTATTACCCCCACACTGACACCAAGGACGGGGCACTATTCCCCCCCCAGTGACACCAAGGACGGGGCACTATTCCCCCCAGTGACACCAAGGACGGGGCACTATTCCCCCCAGTGACACCAAGGACGGGGCACTATTCCCCCCAGTGACACCAAGGACGGGGCACTATTCCCCCCACACTGACACCAAGGACGGGGCACTATTCCCCCCAGTGACACCAAGGACGGGGCACTATTCCCCCCACACTAATTGAGTGGTTTGAACACCGCTTTACATATGTGGGCGTGGCCCATGGGCTCACCAATACGCGCAAGCACGGAAGCAGTTTAAACTTTTTTTTAATATTTAGTTTCAAAGGTCGACAGGGGTGTTTTCGGAGCATCCCTCTCTACAATCTATCTCACCTGTGTGGAGGTTTTTCCTGAGCGTGGTTCCCTTGGATGGGTCCCTGGTTTACTTTCTTCTTGATGTGCAATCAGAAAAATATCTACCTGTATATACTCTGCTGTAAAGCTCCAGCTGAAGGGGATGATTCCAGGAAACGCATTGAGTTTGCGGAAAGAAATAACTGAATGTTGGACCATAAATATATCTCCACTAACTGGGATCCTTTTGGTCAAAAAAAATCTATCTTCAGGGGTGTGGAAATTTTTGAAAAAACAACTTTTCCAGGGACTAAATTGGTTTCCCAATTTTTTTGTCCCTCATAATAATCTACTTGTCCTGATAAAAAAATTTTTTTTTCTTTTTAACCAAAACCGTATTTAAATCAGAGGTGAATTTCGGAATGTCTGGGGCTTTTAAAAATGAAAGAGGCTTTATGGCGACTTAAACGTTTAATATTTTTAACATTGTGCTGTTTATCTCCTCCTCCTCCCCTCCCTGCCTGCCTCCAGCAGTGCACCCGGGGACTAGCAGGGAGGGGAGAGACCTTGCAGTGTAATGAGCACCGATTGGCTGCTCGTCAGAAAAGGGGAGTGTCGAGCTTATCCTTGATCCCTTTCTATGCCAGAACCATTTTTGCGTTTTTTTTGCACACATTTAAAAAATAATTTAAGGTCTGAAGATTACACAAAACTCCAAACATTGTTATTTTATTTATTTCAGGTACTTATATAGCGCCGTCAATTTACACAGCGCTTTACATAAATATTGTACATTCACATCAGTCCCTAACCCTCAAGGGGCGTACAGTCTAAGGTCCCTAACTCACATTCATACATACACATACTAGGGACAAAACATGATATATTTTCTGAAATCAGAGACCCGAGAGAATAAAATAGCCGCAGTTCCAATTTATTATGTCATGATATTATCACAAAGGTTCAGTAAAAAATACACTTAAGTTAATTTTAGGGCACAAAAAGCAATAAATTATCCAATTGTAAAATATAAAAGAGAAGGTTGCATCAAGTAAATAGATATCAAACATGTCAAAGCTTGAATTTGTGCACAATCCTGAAATGGTAACAGACTTTAGTACTCTATATTTTCTATAGGTGACGCTTTTAAAGCCCTTCTAGGTCATCAGTTTAGTGTTACGGAGGAGGTCTGGTGCTGGAATTATTGCTCTCATTGTGGCGTGCGCAGCGATATATGACATGTGCATCGCAGTCGTCGTTTTCATGTGTGGGCGTTCCAGCTCGTGCTTTTACGTTTGTACGTGCTTACAGATGTGGGGGGGCCTTGAAAAATCTGCAGGGGGGTTATATGCTTGGGTGCAACTTACATTTTTTAAAAATAAAAAAAAATAATTTTGTTTTACTTATCTTTTTTTTTAAATCACATAGGGGACAAAAAGTCCCCTATGGAATGGTTTTTTGGTGGCAGGTTCTCTTTTTTTTGAGACATCCTGCATGTCTCCCCTGTGCTCCTCTGAATATAATGCACTGCATCACATTCTTTCCCGGCCTTGATAGCCGGGAATCTGTCAATGGCGACTCGGAAGTGATGTCACATGACTTCCAGGTCAGGACAAGAAGGGGAGGGGAGCGGACGTGTCCACTCTCCTCCCTCTACACCTGCATCCTGACATACTGCCGGCACCCACTGACTGGTCCCGGGCCGGCAGATAGACAAGCGGAGCCTGGGACATATAGTGGGCAGGGGGAGCGGCTGCTGGCACTGTTGGCTGTGTGGAAGCAATCAGGCGGCAGCACTGCCGCCCAAATGCTTCCACCGGACAGATGAGCCCTGCTGCTTGCCCGCAGCAGGGCTAAAGGCAGTAAAAACCTACTTGCCCGGAACTACATGTCCTGGGCGACGGGTGATAGGAATTGCACATCCCTGAATTCTTTCATGTGAACAAGACTTTTATGTACTATGAAATAAGTAAACTGGTTTTAAATGAACAAAATGCTTTGTTGTATAGTAATTTATGATTTTAATTGTAAACTTGTGTTGTGCCTTTAATGTCCTGACATGTTAAATCAGGGCTCGACAAATCCCGGGTGCCAGGTTGCCATTGCGACTAGAAAATGCGGCCTGGCGCCCGGGCTGTCAGCCTCAGTGGTGTAGCATAGGAGAGCGCAGCCATGTGCAACATGGCCGGGCAGCCTGCAGGTGTCACTGCCACATGTGAGGCTGGGGGTTAGGGAGGAGCGGCGGGAATGTGCAGGGCGGGTTAGGGGAGATGCGGGTTTCTACATTAGTAGGAGGGGCAGGTCAGAGGAGGAGCGGAGCTGGCAGGAAGTGTCTCCTGTGCGGCTCTCAGTGACACCTGCCACTCCGGGGAGACTGTAAGCCTCACCTTGGAGCAGGAACCGGCAGCTTGACAGCCAGTGTGGCCACCTATCAGTGCCCCATTAGTGCAGCCTCATCAGTTTCCACATCAGTGCCCCATCAATGCAACCTCATCAGTGCCCTATCAGTGCAGCCTCATTGGTGCAGCCTCATCACCGTACATCAGTGAAGAAAAATTACTTATTTGAAGAAAAAGGTTTTTTTTTTTTTTTAATTTTCAATCTTTTCCTTGTGTATTTAGTAACAAATACAAACCCAGTGGTGAATAAATATGACTAAAAAAAAGCTCCATCTATCTTGGAAAAAAAAAAAAGATCAAAATTGAATTTGGGTACAGTTTTGCATGACTGCACAATTGTCCTTTACCCTCAGTTCACGTCTGTGCGGGTGGTGCCACTGTGGGATCCACACAAATTCCTTCAGCCGCACCACCCACACAGAGGAAGGCGGGTGCCATTAATTCTAATGACATGCCACTTGCACTGGAAATCACAACCGTACTGGGAACCTCAGTTCCCGTGCGGGCTGCAATTTCCCAAGTAGTGCAGGGACTTCTTCCCTGCTTGTCCCGGGGCACGGGAGTCTATTCAAATAAATTTGCTTTCGTGCCCGCACAAATCACGGCCCAGAAGACCGCACAGATGTCAACCAGGGCTTAAAGTATGACAGTGGACTTGGACTACATGCACATATGTACGTGAACACACACGTGGAGAGCACCTACGTACAAAACACAGATTGTGATGCGTGTTACGTATCAGGGATATGTAATTTATATTACCCGACACCCGGGACATGTAGTTTTGGGCGTCGGGCAGGTAATTCTTTATAACATTTAGCCCTGCGGGTAAGCAGCAGGGAGGAAGCATTAGGGCAGCTGCGCTGCTGCCTAATTGTTTCCACACATCACATTAAGTGCCCAGCCATGCAGAGAAATCTGTTTACTTTGTGCTACCTCATCTTTTATATTATACCAAAAAATTGGGTACTATATTGCTTTTGTGTAACTATAGTGTGTGTGTTTTTGGTTTTTTTTTTTTTTTAATCTGAAAATTTTAGTTTGCTTGCTCTTGATAAACCATTGCATTGATATCATGTGATAAAATTATGCAACTACAAACATTTTATTCTCCAAGGTCTCTCCTTTCAGAGAAAATGCTGTCTGAGGGTTTTAACTACTATTCAGGCCCATAATGATTACTTTAACTTGTGCAAAAACAGCTCTGGCAGCACAAGAATAATGTATTTTTACATGTTATTTATCCCTAAAAGCGTCCCTTGTATAGACATCCGAAATACCTGAGACTGCTGCTGAGTGCCACCATCTTGCATGTGATGTCTGCAGCCCCAGCAGACTCAGAGCTGTCACTGAAGTCACATTCTGTACTATACTCTTTGCTCCTCCCTCAAAAGGTTAGGTAGGTAAGGTACAGAGGAGCTTGTCCAGCACAGTGCGTAATTAGACCCTGAAAAAAGAGGTAAAATAGAGGAAATAAATACTTGATATTATGTATTGTCTGTTTCTGTTGTATACTAATACTTGTATGTTTGTGTTTACAGCTGCTCTTTGCCGCCGAGCTGCTCCTCTGGGTCCTCTTCCTAATGAGCAGTTTGAAGGTAAAGACCTGCAGTCTCTCAAGAAATACCGCAGCTTTAAAAAATATAAAAGAGTAGCTGAAGCAGAAATGAAGAAACCAGTCTGGTGGAAGACATACAGACAGTACCTGCAGCCCAGAAACGGTAATGTACTAAGCCAAATGTTCATTTACAGTTGAAAAATGCTGCTGTCAACACCCACACTTTTATTAACCTCCCTGACGGTATTCCCGGGTGTAGCTCGGGGTAAAGTTTCAGTACCAAAAGTGGTAACCCCGAGCTACACTCGAGCTTACCATGTGGCGCTGCTCCAGCTTCTGTTCTTCACTTACCTTGTCCTGCGCTCCCGCGATGTCCCTCTTTCAGTGTCCCCTGTAATGTACTCCGGCGGATGCCGGCATCTGTCATCTGGGTTTCGTCCCCTGCGAGTGTCGGGACGTACGGGGGACGGAACTGGTGGGAAATTTGAAAATGACATAAAGTGACATTCACTAAATACACTAAAATCACATAGTAAAACATTACTGTATCAAACCATTTCACATACATTTTGTCCCGAGTGCTTTGTCCTGTGCCCTGCCTGCATTTTTAGTGTTCTTTCTGCCTGGAAACTGAGAAACGTCCATGGTGTCCAAAAGCGTCCCTTTGGGTCAAAAACGGTTTTATTTTAGTCTTTGTTTTTTTGTTTTTTAGACCAGCTAGAGAACAGCAATAGTAAATCAGAACCACTTGCAGAATTGAGTGATAATGATTCGTGGGGATATTCGTCATCAGACACTGAAAACAATTTTGCGACTTTGCTCAGTGATGTGCGAACTTGGCGCTATATTTCAAATTTCAGTGTTTTTGGTTTGATTATATTATTGAATTAAATTTATTATTATATTATTATTTTTTATGATTATTTATTAAATTATAATTTATGATTTCGTGTTTCAAATTTTATCATACCCGGGATGTTTACTAGACTCTTGTTCGGACAGATTTCACTGAGTTATTCCTAAAAATTACAGGCCTACAATTAAAAAAAAAAAAACATATTTCCATGCAAAAAAATGTACCGCTTTCAGCACAGAAATACAGACATAATCAGACCGCTAGGGAGGTTAAATCCCATCTGGACCCTCTTGATTTATTAGTGTAATGCAGTAAGGCTGCATATACATTAATAAATACAGGGTTCCTTTTTTTTTTTTTATTTTTATTTAATGGTAAGTGCAGCAGCAAGGGCTTTAACCACTTGCCCTCCTTAGGATTTACCCCCCTTCCTGACCAGGCCTCTTTTTGCTACTCGGCGCTGCACTAATTCAACTGATAATTGCGTGGTCATGCAGTGCTGTACCCAAAGTAAATTTACGTCCTTTTTTCACACAAATAGAGCTTTCTTTCGGTGGTATTTGATCACTTGTGTGCTTTTTATTTTTCACGCTATAAACAAAAATTTTTAAGAAAAACGATATTTTTGACTTTCAGCTATAAACAATATATAGTAAACTCAAAATTAGTTATAAATTTAGGTCAAAATGTATTCTGCTACATGTTTTTGGTAAAAAAAAATCCCAATAAGTGTATATTGATTGCTTTTTGTGAAAGTTATTGCGTCTACAAACTGTGGTATAGATACTGCAATTTACGCAATCGTTTTACTATACAGCGCTGCGCTAGTTTAACGGTCAATTGCACGGTCATGCAATAAGGTACATAAATGAAATTTATGTCCTTTTTTCACACAAATAGAGTTTTCTTTTGGTGGTATTTGATCAACTGTCCACTTTTTATTTTTGGCGCTATAAACAGAAAACGTTTTGAAGAAAAAAAAATTTTTTGAAAAAAAAACTATTTTTCTCATTTTGGTCATAAAAAATATCCAAAAAAACTAAAATTTTGTCATAAATTTAGGCCAAAATGTATTCTGCTACATGTTTTTGGTTAAAAAAATCCCAGTAAGTGTATATTTATTGCTTTGTGTAAAAGTTATAGTGTCTACAAACTATGGTGTAGATAATGGAATTTACACAGCTTTTACTTTCTGACTGCCCATCACATTTCTTGAGGTGCTAAAATACCAGGATAGTACAAACACCCTCAAATGACCCCTTTTCGGAAAGTAGACACCCTAAGCTATCTGCTGAGAGGCATACTGAGTCCATGGAAGATGTATTTTTTTTTCCACAAGTTTCTGAAAAATTACAAAAAACATTTTTTTTTTTTTTTACACAAAGTTGTCATTTAAATGATTTATTTCTTGCACAAGCCATGGGTATATGTGGAATTACACCCCAAAATACATTCTGCTACTTCTACCGAGTATGGGGATACCACATGTGTGAGACTTTTTAGGAGCCTAGCGACATACAGGAGCCTGAAATCCAATGACCACTTTGAAAGCCTGAAGGTGCGTAACTTCCTCATTACACTTCCTCACTATCTATCACAGTTTCGAAGGCCCTGAAATGCCAGGATAGCACCAACCCCCCCCCCCCCCAAATGCCCCCTTTCTGGAAAGTAGACACCCCAAGGAATTTAAAAAGAGGCATGCTGAGTATTTTGCAGATCTCATTTTTTCTCACAAGGTTTTGAAATATAAAAAGAGAATAGAAAAAAATAAGTTTTTTTTTTTTTTCTTAATTTTCCAAAAACTTGTGGCAACAAATGAGATCTGCAAAATACTTACCATGCTTCTTATCAAATTCCCTGGGGTGTCTACTTTCCAAAAAGTGGTCATTTGGGGGGGGGGGGTTTGGTGCTATCCTGGCATTTCAGGGCCTCCGAAACTGTGATAGGCAGTCTGGAAGTGTAATGAGGAAATAAAGCCCTTTTAAAAGCCTGAAGATGCTTATTGGATTTTGGGGTCCTGTACTTGGCTAGACTGCCAAAACGTCTCTCACATGTGGTACCCCCATACTCGGGAGAAGTAGCAGAATGTATTTTGGGGAGTAATTCCACATATAACCATGGCATGTGTGAGCAGTAAATCATTTAAGTGACAATTTTGTGTAAAAAAAAAAAAAATTTTTTGTCATTTTCCAAAAACTTGTGGTAAAAAAATAAATTCTTCTATTGATTCAACATGCCTCTCGGCAAATAGTATGGGGTGTCTACTTTTCAAAAGGGTCGTTTTGGTGGGTGGGGGCGTTTTATGCCCAGCATTAGAAGTTTATGCCACACATCATTCACTCTTCTAACCACCTGAAGACCAAGTCTTTTCTGACACTTTTTGTTCACATGAAAAAAATCTGTATTTTTTGCTAGGAAATTAATTTAAACCCCATAACATATATTTTTTTAAAGCAGACACCCTAGTGAATAAAATGGTGGGTACTACAATTTTTTATGGCACATAGTACTCGTGCAGCGATTTTTCAAAAGCAAATTTTTCAAATACACTTTTTTTACTTTTTAATGCCCAAAAACACAATATATTGGTCAATTATTTGGTAAAATATAAAAGATAATAGTATGCCAAGTAAATAGATACCAAACATGACATGCTTTAAAACTGCGCATGTCCCGTGCAATGGCGACAAACTGCATACATTTTTAATATCCATAGGCAACACTTTAAAAGCCTTTAAAAGCTACCATTTTAGATTTACAGAGGAGCTCTAGTGTTAGAATTACTGTCCTTAATCTGACGTTCACGGCGATACCTCACATGCATGGTGCATCCGCTGTTTACATACCGTCACAGGGTCAAGGCTTGTGCACACAGGTGTGCGCGCATGGGAGGGGTGAGTTTTTTATATTTTTTTTTAAGTTATGATTTTTTTTTATATTCTATTTACACTGTACCTTTTCATTTTTTTTTTTTTTTTTTATCTCTTTTAATACTATCACAGGGAATGCAAATATCCCCTATAACTTCAATGGCCATTGTCATATATTCTTTTTTGAGAAATCTGGGATCTATCAGACTCTGGATATCTCCTCTGCCCTTACATTATCTAATCAAACCAAAATCGGTGTGATCAGATGCTTTCCCAATTTACAAATGGCGCTGTTTATATCCTGCAAAACTGAAGTGATGAAATGCTTGTAGTTTCCAAATTCTTAGACTATAGAGATGATTGGCACTACTCTGGTCTCCAATCAGCTCTATGGTCAGCTTGCAGAAACACCGGCTGCATTCTCAGGTTCTCCCGATCGCACGGGACTGCCCGAGAAGGCCATGGAAGGCAGCGGGGGAGGGGGGATTGCTTTTACATGAAAGCTGATCGCTGGCTGAAAAAAACGATACCAGGATGATGCCTGCAGCTGTAGGCATCATCCTGGTATAACCATTCAAAGTCAAGTGATGTACCAGTACATCGCTGATCCTTGTTGGGTATATATGCTATTTTCCTTTTTTTTTTGCCCACCATTGGAATATACCGCCCTGCATCCACCCACTTCTAATGGTGGGCACACATTAGGTCACAATTTGCCACATGCGCCAGTTCCAAGATTGAACAAATGTTTAAATATTGGCACGCTTGAATAAAAATTGTCTACGTATAAGTGGTACCCCATATGGAGAAATGATGACACCAAGTCCCAAACTATCTTGCCACTGCTCCCCATGTAGTCTGGGCATCCGGGGGGCTCCACGTGATCTTTTCCCTCGTACATCCGAAACTTATAAGTATAGCCTGTTGTCCTCTCATGGGTCTTCTACATCTTGACCCCATATCTGGCACGCTTGCAGGGGAGAAATTGTTTGAATGCACGGCGGCCAGAAAAATTAATCAGGGACTGTTTTGCTGGGGAGTATAGACATCTGCAAATGTTTGGTTAAGGTGATTTGCGAGGGGCTGAATTTTGTGGAGCCGGTCAGATTCAGGGTCACCCCGAGGACGACAGTGTATTGTCGTTGAAATGCATAAAACATATTATACTCTCACATCTATGCCTGGCTATAGCAGCAGAGAACATGGGCATATGATGAATCGGGTCTGCGGACAAATACAACCGCAATTCATTTTTTTTTAGTAATGCCCATGTTGAGGGTTAGGCCCCAAAAAAATGTAAATTTTAAAACTGTAATGAGTTTCCATGCAACAGGTCTGGCAAGGTTTGAATTTGGGTTGGCGGCAATAAATTGTTGTGCATATAAATTGCTTTGATCCACAATCAATGCATACAGATATTCCGTGAAAAACGGCTCA